GATGTCAGTTCAGTGGACCACGGAGACGCCGGAGTGAGATAAAGTAAAGTGAACTTCTGTTCACATTAATAGAAAAAGTATGTGCCCATAAACAAGAGAAACACTCCGGAGTTTTCCAATAATCAAAGTACAACACGATGTGAAGAAACCTGCGGGACATTGTACATAAAGCCATGGACAAACTTTGGACATGTAAAATGTAGTAGATTTACTTACCAGTGAAGTAGAACCTCGGCCAGCGAAGACACCGGACTCTTGACTCGACTGAAGCTTGGAAACGACAGGAAAAAGCAGCAAAGCAACACTGGTGTAAACTGTACCTCAAAGCAACACTTGTGTCAACTTTCTATCAACTGTCACAACGCAAATAGCTGTCAAACACCAAAATGTCAGAGAGAACAAGCAAACTGTCCGCACACAACAAGATGGCGTCTACCAGAAATGGCGTCTTGCTCAGTTTTTACCCAGAAGTCCCGAGTGCCCAAGATTTCGCGTGATCTGACGCGTCGCATTCTGGGAGCAGGACTGACAGGCAGCATTAACTTTCGCCTCCTTTCCACACGTATTTCCAAGCAGGTAATAAAATAACGACTGTCACTACCTGGATGATCCCCACCGCCCACCAAAATTAAGAAAAGTGCCTTCTTGTGGGCGATATTACCTAGGTGGCAAACATTGACCCAGCTGATTCAGTTAACATGAAAAAATTCGGGGCTTCGCAGAGCTGAGCAAGCACAACACAAAAAAATAACTTTCTTAAAAAGCGCACCATCAGAGTCAAAGCCCGGACAACGGAAAGAACGAAGCCGGTGGTGGAAGACAGGAGTCACGGCACAACATCATGACCCACATTAGGCTCACAGCCCTCCATGAAGCGACAGCACCAGTCTCACAATATCCTGTAGACGACGAAATCCTGTGGAAGACAATATCCTGTCGATGACGAAATCCTGTAGAGGTGGCCCACAGCCCTGCATGAAGGGACAGCATCAGTCACACAATATCCTGTAGACGTGGCTCACCGCCCTCCATGAAAGGGACAGCACCGATGATATCCAGTAGACGTGGCCCACAGCCATCGATGAAGGGACAGAACCAGTCACACGTTATCCTTTAGCCGTTGTCGGTGGAGAGAGGCATTTTGATCTCTGGTCAAACTTTGTTTTGATTAACTCAAGATGGAATTTTTTCACGAGTTATCAGAAAACGAGAGATTTTCTCGCCGATATATATCAGAGAGCTAAAACCTGAGCTGAGCTGACCTAAGTAAACAATATTATATTGTGGAAAATTACTGACTGCTTCAGGCCACAACTAGGACAAAAACTGATGATGAAACAAAATTATTCTAGGTCAGGAGAGTTAATCGGTTCTCACACAGAAAAAGTACAAAGATATTCACAGTTGTTTATACAGCATAGAACAGACAGAGAAAGAGAGAGCCAGGAAAAGAGAGAGAGATAAAGAGATAAGGAATGAAAAGAGAGAGAGAAGAAGAGATAAGGAATGAAAAGAGAGAGAGAGAGAGAGAGAGAAGAAGAGATAAGGAATGTTTCACACAAACTATCACTCAGAACTAGGAACAAAATGTCAACCAAGAAACAATAGCAAAGCAGACGAAAATCTTAGCACTATTTTTTTTTTAAAAGACAGAAAGAAAAAGTAGTGCTAATGTGGTCAGAAACTTCTGTTAAATTCTATCTACGCCTTTCAAAAGTGCCTTCATACCTTCTTCAACACAAATCCTTTTAAAGTAACCACAAAGAAAAATGTTTGCTTCAAAACACTTCTCCTAGTTTGAATTCTCTGAGAATACACGTTAAATAATAACAGCCCAGATACCACTATTTATTCCAAAGTCCTCGGTTTCATCTTGTCAACTTTTCTGGGCTCAAAGACTACAAAAGAATATCGGCTCAACTTTCCACAAGAAAGTTTCAGATCAAATTATTACTTCTCACCTTTCTAGAATAAATAAATAGGAAGCACTCTCACCATTTTCCATGAAATATTTAGCTGTAGTGATGCCTTCAGAACATTGTACATTACTTCTACCTTTACCTAGCATCATTTGTTAAATATAACAATACACAGCAGCAAACAGCTACTAACAGTCTCCAGATTTCAGGCGATCCCCCGACTTTGAGGAGCCATTTTTGACGATGGTTTTGCCGAAAGTGTCGCTGCTGTAATGATCGCTGTTGTAGCTACCACTCTCCAGGGCGATCAACGGCCGGCTCTCACCGCTATTTGTCACAACTTTTTTCTCAGCGAGGGGCCGCCTCCCCAAACCACCGTCCGAAGGATTGACAGGAAGACAGTGGAGTCTCTCCTTCTTCTCCTCCTCCCCTCCTTGCAGACCGACCACTTTTTCCTCCTTCCGCCTCTCCTCCCCTCCATCTACTGCATCCCTTTCCTCTTCCTCTTTGTTCTCGGCACAGCTGACAAAGCTGGACAAGCTGCCGCTGCTCACACTCTCCTGACAACTGCCGTACGGCGCCACGCTGCTGACCTCCCCCTCCTCCTCCCCCTCAGTCCGCACACTCCCCTCCTCCCCCTCCTCCCCCCCCTCACTCTGCACACTCCCGTACGGGTTGCTCACCAAGCTACTCTCCGCGGGGTCCTCATCTTCAGAGCAAAAACTCTCATCCCCATCCAGGCATTCCGAGCTGCCCAACCCATCCTCAAAACTCGACTCTCGAATTCCGCCCGTGTCTCGATTGCAGTACCCGAGTTTCTCCGAATTCGACGCGGCCACCTGGCCCTCCTGTCCACCTTTCTTCTTCTTCCCCCTCCGGTTGGCACCTGCCAGAGGGCTCCAGAAGTCTAACGCCCCCAGACTACGAGTACGGTTGCACCCAAACCGAGCGCGTCTGTCGGCCGCGGGCACTGCGTTGTCATCACCGCTGTTGTCCTGAAGGTCCCCGCTGAGGCTCGGTTCTAGCTCGGGGCACACATCCACCCGCACCGCCTCGCTGCCGTGAAGTGATGCCTGGTGCATCTTCTCCGCAGCCCGGCGCAGCATGATGGGGGAGGAAGGAAGAGACTGACTCTTCTGCCTCTCCGACTCGCCTGGGTATCCGGCGTTGAAGGACGTGGTCAGCAGATCCCCCGACCTCCCACACGACAAGCCTGAAGAAGAGGCAAAGCCGTTGCTGCTCCCGCTAGATTTTCTAGACCGCGGAAGCTCCAAAACCTTGCGGCCATCTTTGAATTTGCTGATGGTAGCAAAAGGGTTGACGTTTGCGGGCGAGTAGTGCGGGTCGTCTTTGCTCATGGCCTGGGCAATGATCTGTGGGGTCATGAAGACGTCGTCGCCGCCGATGAAGCTGTCGCTGCTCTGGATGATGTTGTCTTCCGACCGCGACCTCTTGTGCAGTTTGCCTGGACAGAAGAAATTACAACTCAAAAAGTGGAAACAGATTTTGCCAGGCACCAACACCATGACCTAACTGAAAAGTCAGTTTTTAGTCAGAGTTTTTTGTCTCTTAATTTTTTCCAACCCAAAAAGGTCATGTTAGCGCCCAAGATTAAAGGTGTTACAAGAGAGTAACAACATAAAAAAGAAGGAGGAGAGATAAGGACGATAGATGTTTGGTAGAAAAGAAGGAGCAAACCACACCAAAGCATGTGAAAAAAGTACATTGAAAAAAAAACCGCATACTGTTCAAGTAAATGAGAAGCACATCAACATAAGAGGCAGGACCAACTATTATGAAAGTTTTCCTTTTAGCAAGTTTTACAGCACTCATAAAACAAATAAGTCATACAACAAGCCAAAAATTAGAAATGTTATCAAGAAAATGACATACAAAGAAAAGAAGGAGGAGAGATAAGGACAACAGATGTTTGATAGGAAAGAAGGAGGAGACCACACCAACACACCCGCCAACCACCCTGGACCTAGGACTGGCATCCTCCGAACCTCTACTCTCTACTTTGGGAAAAAGGAAAGTGAGAGCTCAAATATTGGAGCCACAGATGTTAGGCTTGTTGAGAATGAGAGAACTATAAAAAATGATGATTTCTTCAAACAAAACATGGAAAATGTGGACAAAAGAATAGACTAATTAACTAAGAAAGGGTAGAACTTATCTATATCCAGATATCAAAGTTGTTCCAATTAGTTTAGTAGTAAGTGTTGTACAGCACTTGCAATACAATAAGGTCACATAACTGCCGAAGATAAGAGGTGTTACAAGAGAGTAACAAACACAAAAAAGGAGGGGAGATAAGGATGATAGATGTTCGATAGGAAAGAAGAAGCAAACCACACCAGAGCACCCGTCAACCACCCTCATTGTTGTTACAATTAATTCCTAGTTTACAGCAAGACATGAGAAAACTGACCACATTTCCTCAGAGACATGAAGACAACCTTTACAAGAAGTAGAAGGAGCAGACCGGGCCAGAGCACATACTCAACATCCACCACTCCGGGTGCCTCGTCAAATCACAAGGCAAGAGAGCCACAACAAAACTGTAAGGAAGCTCAACATCTTAACGACAGTATCTGCTTTAAATGTCACTATGGAGAAGTTAAGTTTTAGTTTTAGTAGAGGTTTTACGGCGCTTGCAACTGCATAAGGTAATTTGAGCGCCAAGGGGTGGATGTCAACAAAGAAGTCCTTACAGGGAATCAGACTTACTCTGCTCACCTCTCTAGATTCAACAGCACAAAGTCTGCTTCGACTATCAAGGCACCCCGGAAATAGCGGGTCACAAGAGAGTGACAAACATACAAAAGAAGAAGAGGGAAAAAAATGGCGTTCGTAAGGATGAGGAAAGAAAAAGCAGCAGTTCCCCCTTTGTTGTTCGGGCACAGTTATGAGCATGACATTGATAAATCAGCCCATTTACAATTCTACTGTTCATAAGAACATGTTAATATGTTAATATGCCCCCTTTAGGAATGGTTAAAGACACTTCAGTCAGTAGCACTGCCCTGGTGGAGGCAACAGATGTTTGACAGGAAAGAAAAAGCACACTTCACAAGAGCACCTGCCAGTTACCTACATACCTGAATGTGATAATGAATTTGTCCGAAGATTCTTGTAAATTTGTTCTAAGGTGGATATGATCACGCTCGACTCTGGCCGCTTCTCTTGACGAATCTGTTGGTAGTTAGAAAGATAATCATCATCATCCAGTGCCAGATCTGCTACAGACATCGGCGATCATGATTCTCCATTCATTCCTTTGCTCGGATGCTCTCAAAAATGCTATGTTTCCCTGATCTTTCCCTATTACCCCTTTGTTTATTCCCCAAGTATGTTGTTCTGGGCATTCCCCTGCCTCGCTTGCCCTCAATTTTGCCAGTGAGAGCTAGATGTTCAAGACCCTTATGTCTATTCAAGTGTCCCAAAAACTGCATTTGTCTTTTCCTGATTGTTTTTAACATTGAGCGTCCCATGTGGGCTTCATCAAGCACTACCTCATTTGATTTCTTTTCCTTCCACGATATTCTCAGCAGTCTCTTAAGAAACCACATTTCTGTTGCTTCTACTTTATTTTCACCGTCTTTAGTGATTGTCCAGCATTCACAGCCATATAGAAGGGTTGACCAAACATAGCATTTCAGGACTTTCATTTTCATGTTCATTGAGATGTTTCTATTTTTCAGGATTGGGCTAATTTTATTGAAACCAGCCTTAGCCATTGTAATTCTCCGTTTTATTTCTGTGGAACATTTAGCATCAGATGTCATCATATATCCTAGATATTTAAACTGTTGGACTTGTTTGATCTTGTCACCTTTGCTAATGAGATTACAACTAGGATTTGCTGCTTTTTTGGAAATTACCATGCATTCTGTTTTCTTTACATTCAACAATAATCCTTTACGTTCACTTTCTGTTACAACAGTATCTAGAAGCAGTTGAAGGTCCTTTTCTGAGCCTGCTATTAAAACTGAGTCATCTGCATACCTGATGTTATTAATATTTTCTCCATTTACTTTGAGACCTGGACATTCTTCTATGTTTCTAAGGATTGTTTCACTGTACATGTTAAAGAGGTCTGGTGACATAACACATCCTTGCCTCACTCCTCGCCTAATCTGCTTATATTCACTGTATTCTCCATTAATTCGTACTGCAGCGTTTTGGTCCCAGTACAAATTTCTTATAATTCTTAGATCTTTTCCATCTATGTCTAGCTTTTCCAGTATTTTAAATAGCTCATCATATGTAACTTTATTGAACGCCTTTGAATAATCTATGAAGCATAAATACAGATCTTTCTGTGCTTCAATACATCTTTCCATTAACATTGTAAAAGTGAATATAGCATTTGTGGTGTCCTTATCAGAAACAAAGCCGAAATGCGTTTCAGATATCTCTGGTCTTACACTTTTTCTCAATCTTCTCATTATTACTCCAGCAATATTTTAGTAAAATGACTCATAAGGCTAATTGTTCTATGCATATCACACTCAGTGGCACCTGGTGTTTTAGGTAAAGCTATAAAAACTGACTTTATCATATCTTCTGGGATCTCACCGCTGTCATAATTAGCATTTAGGAGCTTTGTTGTTATTTCAGTGCCTAGTTCTTCAAGCGCGACAATCAAGAAAGATAATAAAAATAATAATAATAATAATAACAATAGATAGCATTTGTCTAGCGCAAATTCCCGCTCAACAGCAAGTTCTAGGCACTTTACAATCTATAATATGTGTCACAACACAGTGGAATCAGGCGCTCGTCAGTCTTTCGGCACGAGGAATTATTGGTATCATCTAAAAGCTGATTTATTTGCCTAGCTTCTAATGAAATAAATATCTATCTATCTCTAATAGAACTCAAAATATTTGCGATTGAAGGAAGTGAGGTCGCCTGGTTTCAGTGGTGAAATTAGCGAGACAATGGCTGCCAAAGTTTGGTAACTACAGTAGCTAAAGAGTCCTTGAAAACTGAAAAATTACATACTTTGTGCCTTTAATCAATGCTTTTCAGTAATATTCATATGGAAATGTGTTTTTATATGGACGTAAAAGAGGATAAGCCACAAAATAAAAATTTTGTAAAAATTTCCAAACTGGCGGAAAAATGCCTGTTTCTCCGATTCATTATTTTGATGAGCCCCTGATTTCATCACGGTGCCTCACATATTATTACCCCAGCAGACCAGAGAGTATTCTGAAACAACCGCAACTTCCTGGGAAGCATACAGTGCAAGCTGCCATTTATAGTTGCTAAAACACTAACATACTGACAAGATCTTTCGCTGTCTATGGCCGGGTACCCATTCCCACCTGGGTGAAGTGAGGAAAATGCGTGTAAAGTGCCTTTCTCAAGGACACAACATTGGGTCCTTGACGGGATTCAAACCCACAACCATGCAAGTCCGAGAGCCTAACCACTAAGTCTTGCATAAAATCATTCCTGCAAACAGCATCGAAACATGACCAGGAAAGGCTCACATTTTCCCACTGCAGTTTAAGCTCCATCATTAGAAACACACACAAACACAGACAAAACTTTGCCCCCCCCTCCCTACTTTCCCCCCCCCCCCCCCAACCCGGGGAAAAATTGGGCCCCCCCCCCCTCCCTTTTTTTTCCCCCCCCCCCCACCCCAAAAACGGAAAAAATTTGGGCCCCCCCCCCTTTTTTTTCCCCCCCCCCCCCCATACACACAAAACAAAACTGTGCCCCCCCCCTACTTTTTCCACCCCTACACACAAACAGACAAAACTGTGCCCCGCCCCCTTTGAAACAACAACACAGTCATCCTACCTGGCAACATTTGAAAGTCAGCTGCAGGAAGTCCAGAGGGCAATACTCCACCATCTCACAAAATCTCACATAGTCCACTCCAAAACTCTAGAGAACAAAAATTAAAGCCAACGTAAAATTCAAGTAAAATGAAAACTCATCAAAATGGTAATGGTCATTCAAGGCATTAATTTTTTTATTTTTTTTTCGTAAGAGTTTTACGGCACTTGCAATACAATAAGGTCATATGTGCCAAAGGTGTTACAAGAGAGTTAAGTTTAAGTTTTAGTAGAGATATTACGGCGCTCGCAACTGCATAAGGTCATATGGGCGCCAGAAGATTAGAGGTGTTACAAAAGAGTAACAAACATAAAAAAGAAGGAAGGAAGAAAGACAATAGATGTTTGATAGGAAAGAAGGAGCAAACCACACCAGAGCACCCGCCAACCAAGGCATTTTTTAAAAAAAGAAAAGAAAAGAAAAAAAAAGACAGAAACAACAGAGAGAAAGAAAAGACGTAGGACCTTCCCACCTCGCGAGGGGGACACAGGAGAAAACTACAGTCCAAGTTGTCCAAGATGACCACCCGACGTCGAAGAGAAAAGTGGCCGTCTCAGATACGTGGACATCTTCCACACAGTTGTTCAAATCGATTTTTTTAAAACTCAAAATTAGAAAAAGGAAATGATCTTTTGTACAGGTGATTGTCTTGTTCAGGTAGCCATTAGAGCTGGTTTGACTTCTCTTTTTTTGCTCCAGTTAGGTTTTACGGCCCTCACAACTGCATATGGTCATATGAGCGCCAAGGGGAGGATGTCAGCAGAGAAGTTCAAACATGGAATCAGACTTACTCTGCTCACCTCTCTAGCCTCAACAGCACTAAGTCTGCTTCGACTATCAAGGAAATAACGGGTCCAAAGAGAGTGACAAACATACAAAAGAAGTAGAGGATAAAATTACGCCAGTAAGGACAAAGAAAGAAAAGGCAGCAGTTCCCCGACTGACCTGAGTTCTGGGCATGGTCTCGGGATCCGCATCTATCCGCGCCGTCAGCTCCAAGTTGATGATGCCAAAAGAGAAAAGGTCCGCCTGTTTTAAAAAAAAAACAGGATCAAAATTCAATCAACCCACCTAAGAGAGAAGCTCATTCCAAAATTTGGATTTTAATTTATTCAAAAACTAGTCACAGGTTCACTTTAATTTTTTTCAAACAAGTAGGGTAACTGATCAGACTTTCAATTCCGAAAATAAAAAATGTTGGTGCCAAAATGAAAACAAGGCGTTTTGTCAGCTTACAGCATTATACTGACAACATTATGGAATAACTTGTTTCCGGTTTCTTAAAAAATGTTTCCGTTTGCCAAAAAAAAATAAAAAAACAGTCAGATTTAAATAATGAGACGAAGGATAACCCACAGTACTTTCATATCATCTAAAGTGCACGCTGACTCTTAATTTGTTGTTTTAGTAGAGGTATTATGGCGTTAACTGCATAAGGAAAAAAGTCTTAAATGGTCCAGGACAGCCACCCATTGTCACAGAGAAAAGTGATTGTCTTAGACAGGTTGACATCTAAGACATATCATTATAACAAGGAAACAATTGAAGGTGAGGGGGGGGAGTGGTTGTTTGCACAGGTAATTGTCTTGGACAGGTGGTCGCAAGAGAAGGTTTGCCAGTTTCACCATACACCACAGATGCCAGTACCGCCAGGCAGGCAACACCTTTATGTAACAGGGGACACAACTCCACTCACCCTCTCGTCGTAAAACTTTCCGTTGATGACCTCCGGAGCCATCCACCAAGGACAGCCGACGGACGGCAAAGGTTCCGTGGCCCTGAGAGACATACACAAATGTTACAACAGAGGGAGATTTTTTTTAAAATTATTTTTGTTTTGCATTGTATGTTTGAGTAAAAAAAAGCACATCAACACAATAATGATTACTTAGCGCTGGGGAAAAATAAGATAGACAGACACAACAACAAAAGGAGAAGTAAAGAAGTAGGACCTACCAGTGGGACCCTCCACCCACCCACCCAGAAACACATTATACAATAATCATCATTAAGTTTTTTTGTTTTTTTTAGTAGAGGTTTTACGGCGCTCGCAAGTGCACAAGGTCACATAAGCGCCAGAGGATTAGAGGTGTTACAAGAGAGTAACAAACATAAAAAAGAAGAAGGCGAGATAGGGACGATAGAAGTTTGATAGGAAAGAAGAAGCAAGAAGCAAACCACACCAGAGCACCCACCAACCACCCACGGGAAAAAGTAAGACAGACACAAACAACAAGAGGAGAAGTAGAGAAGTAGGACCTACCAGTGGTACCCTCCACCCACCTGCACTGGTTGAGTAAAGAGAAGCACATTATACATAATCATCATTAAGTTTGGGTTTTTTTGGGTGGTTTTTAGTAGAGGTTTTTTTAAAGTTTTAGTAAGTGTTTTACAGCACTCGCAACTGCATAAGGTCATATGAGCACCAGAAGGTGTTACAAGAGAGTAACAAACATTTTTTTAAAAGAAGGGGAGATAAGGATGATAGATGTTTGATAGGAAAGAAGGAGCAAACCACACCAGAGCACCCGCCAACCAACCACGTTTTAGTAAGTTTTACAGCACTTCCAACACAAATAGGTCATATAAGCGCTGACAATCATTGATTTGAAGTGTTACTCTAGAGTTACATACAAAGAAAAGAAGGAGGAGAGATGAGGATGGAAGATGTTTGATAGGAAAGAAGGAGCAAACCATACAAGAGCACCCGCCAACTACCCACAGAGACACTGCTCACAGAATACAAAAACTTCTTAATACACTGCCTCATGCCCAGTGCTAAGACACAGATTCAAAACTTACTGAGGATCCGGTATCTTTGTTGCCAAGCCAAAATCAGCAATGATGGCTTGATAGTTTTTGTTTTCTCCCTTCCTTATCAACACATTCTGCAGATGGGGATGAAAAAACAAACTTTTAAGGCACATTGCACATCATTTGATACACATCACTAAAACATAAGTTCTGCCTTGTTTGAAAAGTACAGGGACAAAAGCAAGGACATTGCATAGACAGTGGTGGAATAAATCATCATATGCCTCCTCTGTGTCATGCTGCAGTCTACACTAAGTGGACACAACAAAGTGTTGTCATATTTGTCACGACATGATGGAATCATGCGCTCCTCAAATTTAGGGCATGTGAAGTTATTGGTATTGCCCTTAAGCCTGTTCATTTGTGTTGCTTTTGATGAAAGAAATATACATTTATCTTGGATACTTGTCGATACATTTGCGAGTGAAGGAAGGAGGTGGTGTGGACTGGTTTCAGGGGCAAAATTAGCAAGAAAATGGCTGCCAAAATTTAGTTATTTACATAGCCAGAGAGTCCGTAAAAACTGACAATTTACATTTTTTGTGCATTTAATCAACGTTTTGCAATAAAACCCACACAGAAATGGGTTCTTTAAAGGACATAAAAAAGTTGAGCCAAAAAGGCAAAATTTCGATCAAACTGACCAAACCAGAGGAAAATGGCAGATTCTTTACTTTCATTATTTTGACGAGCACCTGATTTCACCACGCTGTCTCACATATATCTCTAGGATACATAAGAGTTTATGGTGATTCAGAAAAACAACAAAAGTTGCACTTGACCATCAACAGATGCAAATATAGGAATAGAGGTTCACTTTCTTGAAAGAGAAACACACAGACACAGAAACAATAATTTGTTGCTGGGGAAAAAAACCAAGACAGGCAGACAGAAAAAGCAGAAAAACAAAGGGATTGTAAAATAACAGGATTTTATAAACGAATAACTCATTTTTCCTGTGAGTTTGTCTTACATCTTTATCATATTTTCTTTATTTTGTTTCACTTTTTCAAAGCAGAACACTCCAATTCTTTATAATCACATGGCAAACAGTTGTTTACTTTCGAGCAATACGACTGCCAGTGAGAAGCAGCTTTACCTTGGAGGTGAGATCCCGGTGAAAGACGGGACAAGCTTTACCTTGGAGGTGAGATCCCGGTGAAAGACGCCATCCATGTGCAGGTAGTGCATGCCCCGGGCGATGTCCAGCGACAGTTTGAGGCGCACGGTCCAGGGCAGCTCCTCCGTCTTGCTGGACAGAAGCATCTCCAGGGTCCCTCCACTGATGTACTGGACAACAGAAAATTGTACAAGTTTTACACACCTTACTGACACAGTGTAGACCATTTAGCAAGTGGGCTGCTTTAGGCAGGGCCAACCCAGGTTGAATGAGATTAAACATCCCAGCAGAAAGACAAAAAGACAAAGATACTCGATAAAAGAATCTTTTCCCTTCTGGAATTGACCTCATATTTCTATGTGCAAAAGGACTATTTGATTTAAATTAGGATTTGGTTCGAGAAAACCTTGTCTCTCTGGAACTGAGCTCATGTTTCTGTGTGCGGAGGCAAAGAGCCTAAAACATTACACCTCAGATGCAGACTTGGTTTTAGACATGGTTTTACAACATTTCAAACAAAAATTGGTCATACAAGTGCCAAAGATTATTAGTAGTGTTACTAGAGGGTAATATACAAAGAGAAGAAGGAGGAGAGAAAAGGAAGACAGATAAAGATTCTCCCACTCCGGAAAAGAACTGAAGTGTCCTGTGTGCAACAGCAAAGCATTTAACAGCTACATCACAGACACCAGAGTTTGTTTTGTCTTGTGTGTTTGTTTGTTTGAGTAAAAAGTAGCACATTGACACAATAATGGTCATTTCATGCAGGGAAAAAGTCTGATAGACGGGCAGAAACAACAGAAGGAAAGTAAAGAAGTAGGACTTACCAGTGGCGCCCTCCAACCACTAGTTGAACATAGTTAAACATCAGTGTATACAATGTTTTTAATTTCAGTTTTAGAAATAGTTTTATGGCATTTGCAGCACAAATAGGTCATAAAAGTGCCAAAGGTTAGAGATGTGACTGAAAGTAACATGCAAAGAAAAGAAGGAGGAGAGAGAAGGAAGATAGATGTTTGATAGGAAAAAGGAAAGGAAAGATAAAGACAACAGAAATTGGAATAAAAATAGGAGCAAACCACACAAGAGAGCCCACCAAGCACCCACCAAGTGAAACAGTCCGCCCCGTTATACAACTGTCCATGATCACAAGGGTTAAAACAGCTTACGCTCAGGTCTATTAGGTTAAACAGCAGGAAAACTTCCGTTAAATCATTTTTTAATTAAAAAAAACAAAACAAACAAACAAGGTAACAATAAACATTTGATATCGTCCGAGTGACGTCAAAGATCGTATATAACAAGATAGTTCACTCCTCTCTTGGAGCCAATTAAAAAAGTGTCCTCAAAATTCGGTGGTGCCCTCTTCGAAAAAGCGCGGACTTTACAAACAGAGTTACCCTACTTGTGTGAAAAACAATAAAAGTGAACCTAACAAACTATGCTATTCCTATTCTTCTTCTGGAGAAACGAAAGAGAGCTTCGAAACAAAGACTGCAGCACCATCTGAACCAATGCGCGGACTTCTGCGGACATTTTTTTGGCTGAGTGTACTATTTTGTTATACAATCTTTGGCTGAGTGAACTATCTTGTTATGTACAATCTTTGGCTGAGTGAACTATCTTTTTTTTCTTCTTTTTTTTTTTGTAAAGTGTTTTACGGCGCTCTCAACTGCATACGGTCATATGAGCGCGCAGGACACACCTTATATTTTCAGTTGGTAGGAAATTTTGAATTTTGTCCGGGTGGCGCCGAAGCCTACTCTTATCGATGTTAGACCACCAAGGGATCTTTAACGTGCGCAACTTGCACACAGGCCCTCCGAGATATTTCGCCCTTGTCCGAGAAGGCTAGGTGTAGATCTTTCCTACCAGAAGATCAAGGGTGTGGCTGAAAGACAGCAATAAGAAGAAGCGAAAGAGTAGCAGTAGAAAGGCTGCAGAAAGAATCAGGAGCCAGAGGAAGGGGCAAAGGAGGTGAGGGGGTGGAGGCAGGAAGAGGAGACGAAAGCAGACGACAGAACATTGCAAGAGGGCAGGAAATGAGGTGAAAGGAGACAAATGTAGCGAAAAAAAATTTTCAGTTGCTACCCGGATTCGAACCCGGGACCTTTTGAATGAGAGGCCAACACCTTAACCTCTAGGCCACGAGAGCCCCCTGAACTATCTTGTTATGTACAATCTTTGGCAGAGTGAACTATCTTGTTATGTACAATCTTTGGCTGAGTGAAATATTTTGTTATGTATGATCTTTGGCTGAGTGAACTATCTTGTTATGTACAATCTTTGGCTGAGTGAACTATCTTGT